CAGGAAGGAGAGAGGGAGGCGGGCGGGTTTGTTCGACCCACGGCGCCGTGAAAAAGAGAGAGAGAAGGGGGTGAGAGTGGTGGTGATGAAGGAGGGGCGGTTGGTTGACACTAAGTAGTATGTCCGTAACAGTGGCCCCGAAAAATCCATACGTCGGTACACGGCTAGATTAAAAGTGAACAAAAAAAGAGAAAGGAGGAGAAGTGAATTAAAAGAGAGAAAGGAGAGAGAGAGAGAGAGAGGGGGAGGAAAAATTCCGCGCCTCGCCGGAGGGGTAAAACGATACCGGCTACATACGCGACATTAATGAATGTGCCTTTAGAAACGGCCTAGAGGGAGAGAGAGATAGAGAGAAAGAGAGAGAGAGAGAGAGAGAGAGAAAAGAGAGAGAGCTATAGGACGTAGCACGTGGCTCGATTGCTTTAACGACCGTTTGTACGCGCGCGCGTTCGTTCACGCACGCTGCGCCTCACGAAAGCCTCGCTTAATAATCGCCGCTGATGAATAATCCCGTTTTCGGTGCATCGCAGACTCCTGTGCAGAATTTCTTTTTTTCCACCGATCTGAAGCAGCACGCGACTCTTCTGTTTGATCCGAAACGCTTCGAAAGGAGGGAAGAAGAGATGCGTTTATGTGTATAAGAAGAACGCTTGCACTAGGATATCAAGCGGCACTTTGAATTTACGCGATTTACGCGGATGGCCAGATCTATAAATACCGTCTATAAATCACGCGAGTGGGTTAGACTCCCGGTAATAATTGGAAGGAACGAGTAGACAAAGGTAGAAATAATTCTATCGGCAGAAACACGGTGGGAAGCTCGTAAATTTCCGGTTGCTCCCTCTGGAAGCTGCTCTTCCTTAAAGAAGTCTTGAATCGTGTTAATTATAATGGCGGCGCGTAGCCCGCGTTTATTCTGGTCGCGCGATGCTTTTCCACAAAGAGGAAGAAGATTGGAAACTTGTACGAAGAAGAAGAAGAAGAAGAAGAAGATGAAGAAGGGGACTGCAGTGTGAAAGAAGGTGCTAAACGGGCAGCACCGAGAGAAACGGGACAGGAGAATGGCGACCATAACGTAATTTTGACAGAAATAACGCCGCCGTGCTCGCTGAGAGACAATAAGTCCGCGACACTCTCTCGCGGAGGATCTTAGAATAGTTTAGTGTCCGCTGGTCTCTTCGTCTTTCTGGATACGTTGTCTCTGTCTGATGCTGTTCCACCTTCAACCGCGACTTTCCCGTTTCATCTGCTCGCTTTGCATGACCCTCTTGGCGCCACGATTTTCATGCCTGCGACCGGATTGATGATTCTGCCGTATACGGCTGCTGCACCATTTTCGTCCCCTCTTTTCCGCCACGATCTTCGTCGAATAACTCCTTTATCACGTTCGAGGAAAATTTGACAAATTCTACTTCGTCTCTTTGATCACTCGTATCTTCCTATCTTCTTTCTTGTCTTTTTCTTCTTCGTTCTTTATAGAGGATACACTTTGGTGAACATAGGTACGTAGCGCTGTTCAGTTAGAAAAGGTAGATTCTCTGTTTTCGGTAGAAGGGAGAAGCATCGATCGGATCGAAGCTTACGTTAATCCTTTGTCGAAAGTTGAAAAAATATTCGGAGCACGTCATAATATTCCCACCAGTCGCGTTCCATGCCCGTGAAATCGGCGCAACGTCTCTATTCTGGCTCGTTAAATCGCATCTGGCCGGTTACTCCTTTAACGGAGCCGTTTTTCCGGAAACAATGTTGTGACGAGGGCCGCCGGCTCGAAAAAAAGGGGTAAAGAGGCTACGAGGAAGAGGGGTGGCTGCCCGTTGGGATTTTTTTTGTCGGTATTTAGGCCCTCTTGAGAAAAAGAAAGAGAGAGAGAGAGAGTGAAAAAGGAAGGAGAAAGGTTCAATGGACCCTTTCGCGAGTGCAGCGCAGCAGGCACTTGACGCATTATCCAAACACGCGATTTTGTAGGTTATGTTAATCCGTGTCCCTCTTCTGTCTCGCTAAACAATTCGAATCACGTGGAAATCGTTCCTATTAGTCGAGAAAAATTCGCTCGGAACTCTCGGTATTGTACCGTAGATACGAAGAAAAAAGAAAAAAATACACGAGAAGGTATTCGTCTCGATGATACGAAGCTCTTCTCTGTTCGGTAAGCATCGCGTGGAGATCGTGCACGCCGGAGGATTTTCGGTGAGCACACAGGCCCAGATCACGTATAAAGGGTTATTCAGCTAAGGCCGCGCGGATTAAATGATAAAAAAAGAAAAAAAACGAGGAGAGGAGAGAGAGAGAGAGGAACGGCGTGTCTGAAATACGGGGCCTCCTTTTCATGGATTGGGCTTTTTGAAAATTTTAAACTCCCCAACCAGGCCCAGGGTTTTCATCCGCAGCCGGATCGACCTCTCTTTCTCTCCCCCTCCGACCCTGCACGAGTTTCAAGAACCGAACCGAATAAAAGGGTTCGGGGCCCTCTGAAAGCCGCTGGATTCGTGCAAGGGGTAGGAAAAGGGGGATCCCCGTGTAGATTTCTCGTATTTTTTAAGATTTGTCCCCCGAGTTCCGTCACGTTTCTCCCATTCTTCTTCTCTTCTCGATCCATCTTTGTGGGTGGCGTGAGTTCCCTCTGGAGCACTTTCTCCGATCTCGCTACCGAACGTATTTCTTCGATTTCTCAACCCTTCTCTTTCGTTAACACGTCGTTTCTTCCTCTCGAACATTCTCTGATCGCCGAGCCGTTCGAAATTCGCGTAAGATGCAACGAAGAAAAATAGATTCAATTAGAATATACATCGTTGTATCTTTTAACAAGATCCAAGGCCAGTCTCCGTTCGACACTCGCGCCGCGCCGGTTTTTGGCACGCTTCCTGCGACGCGGCCCGCATAATTAGGCGTCAACAAAATGTCTGACATTCCCGGATACGAAAGAAGAATCATAGACTCTCTCGCTGGCTCGCGATACCGCGTGTAATGCGTTTATTCTTAATTAATGCGACTTGATCCGCGAAACCTTGACCCCGAACCGCAACGCTACGCCCCTTTTTTTCCTTTTCTTCTTCTTCTTCTTCTTCTTCTTCTTCTCTCTGTCTCTCGTAACGAGCCACGTCTACTCCCGAGGATGCTTAGGCTGGTGAATTCGCGCGAACAAGAGAGTTTCCTCGACGGAAGAAGGTACCTCTAACGAGCTACACAAAACACGCAGCTGCGTTACATAATTACTGCACCGGGACGATAGATTAATAGTCATAACCGAATGTTACGCAACAATATGCTCGAGCGTTACCGGTTCGGCTAAACTGGATAATTCATTTAAACATCCACGGCGAAAATGTGCATTTCGTAATGTCTCGAACGCGCGCGGCACGTGCTCACACCGAACGCGGTATCTATAGTAGATATTTTTGTCTCTTTCTTTTTTTCTTCTTTCGGCCAAGGCAAAATTACGGGTGACGATTTTCTATCGGACAATTTAATTTCGCAATTATTCTCACTTTCGAGAGGATATTATATCCTGGATCGAAGAAGGGAGGAGGAGGAGGAGGAGGAGGAGAGGGAAAAAAAAGAGAAAAAGTGACACAGATTCAGAAGCTTCGTATATACCTCGATGGAACATAATACCGAGGCATAATGCCTGGGTGTGTGCCTCTCTCCCTCGCGCGCAACCTTTACCCATTTCGTCTCTTTTCTCGTCGTTCCTTTTTCTCTCGTTTCCACACGGCAGTAGGAGGGGAGGAACCCTTCTTCTCTTTCGCGTATATACACACGTGCGCATAAAACTCGGCTGGCTATACCTCTATCCCCACCATACTTAAAACCAGGAGGGGGGAACCCCCTACGAGAAATATTCGACAATTTTTAAACTCGTTTCTGAACGCATTCAAACGTGCGCGCACAGTCGACAAGTAGGAATTTCTTGGAATCAACCGAGCCCTTGGGTTAGGGCAAGCCGAACGTGGAACGTGGTTTCCGGAGGTGGGGCATCCGCCATATATCCTCCTTCGTGCTTATATATTTCGCGGCTATTCGCGAAATTCCCCGCTGAACCGTGTTATTGTCGCTTGAAAACGCAAAGCTGCGAGAGAGAGAGAGAGAGAGAGAGAGCTCCGGTGATAAATGTCCGAGAAAAGTTTCCTTCGCTAGGGATATTATGGTATTCCGATGAAAAATATATTATCAGTCGAGAGAGAGAGAGAGAGAGAGAGACCGATCGGAAAATATCGACTCTGACCAGATTTTCTAATAATAAATCCACCGATTTACTCTCGGTGTATGTTGAAAAACGTATTTTTGGCTTCGTCTTCTTGACATTGATCGTGTCAAAATTAATCGTACCTTTTTTTTTTTAGAGAAGGCTAGTTCTTTTCTCGAATATACTTAGGCTCTAGCGAGACCTTGTCTCTACATCTTGTATAGATCTATTTCACGCGTGTCCGTCCTCTCTGTAACGGTCGGTTATATCACCTTCGCCCATCGGCTGCGCGGATAATGTCGTTTCTCGCGACTACAGAACACTTCTTTACCAACTCTCCCCGGCCGCCTGTGTCGTTCCATACCATAACCATCGGAGGATACTCAGAGAGAGTTAGGGATCTTTATGTCCGTAGTGATGAATTTGAAAATTGTGTCGGTTAGAAACAATTCGTCGAAAAAAGGGGAGGAAACATTCTCACCTCTTCTCTCTTCTGATTTCAGCGTTGTTGAGACAAAGCATGTCTCCGGTGGCCGACACCCTGATCGGTAGCTCGAAAAGCCCGGTTTCGCAGCCGATAATCGATTACTCCCGCTATGTGAGACGGTACACGTCGGGCCAAGAATGCGGTAGCTCGTATTGTAAGGAGCTCGGCTGTCGCGAGCATTTTCACTGTCTGGACTGCAGTGGTAGGGTGTTTGTGAAAAAGGAAGAGATGATCAGGCATTTCAAGTGGCACAAAAAGAGGGACGAATCTTTGCAGCACGGTTTCATGAGGTACTCGCCGACGGACGATTGCTCGGAGAGGCATCCAGGCCGAGCATGTCCGCACAATAGAAAACAGACCCATTACCACTGTATACATGAGAATTGCGACAAGGTTTACATATCGACGTCAGACGTGCAGATGCACGCTAATTATCACAGGAAGGATTCAGCGATCATACAGGAAGGGTTCCAGAGATTTCGAGCTACCGAGAGCTGCGCCACCGATCACTGTCCCTTCGTCGGCCAGCGGACCACGCACTTCCATTGTCGTCGGCCAGGTTGCCGGTTCACCTTCAAGAACAAGGCTGACATGGGTAAAGAGATACACCACTTGCTGTAGAAAATTATAGTCCTCTCCGCTCGGCTAGAGTTGCTCGTTACAACACACGTTTTCCCTGACAAATAGTAGCGTTCGTTTCCTCGGCGATTATTTTTCTTTACCGAAACTTTTGTCACCGACAAGCAGATGGCAAGAAGAACTTGGTTAATCTCGAGCGTGTTGGTTTTCACGTGCGTTCGATTCTTCGTGTCGATGGTATAAAACAACCCTGAGTTAGTTTAGGTGCATGGCTGTTCGTTTTCGATACCCGTACGGATCGAATACACGTAAAACCAACTGATTCTTGCCATCTCCTTGTAAGATCTGCCGCGTTCCCTGCGAACGTACTAACTCGCCTCGATCTTCTTCTTGCAGATAAGCATAAATCGTATCACATCAAGGACGAGCAATTATCGAGAGACGGGTTCAAGAAGTTCATGAAGTCCGAGGGTTGTCCCTTCGAGCAATGTCGCTTCTCTAGGGTCTGCAATCACATCCATTGCATAAGACCGCACTGCAGCTATGTTCTCCATTCTTCCGGTCAACTGTTCTCCCATAAACGGAAGCACGAGCGTCACGAGTCTGAATTAGCCTATAGGAAGTACAAGCAGATCAGTGCTGTCGGTGGTATACGGCCCCCTGGATCATGGCCACCGGACGATCTCAGCGGTCAGAACCTCTCTTTGAGTTTGAACGGCGAAAGCTCGAACGAGGACAGAGGTTCCCCGTCTTACTACTCCTTGGACGACTCGTTTCAAAGCGTAAGCGACCTTGCTATGGATCTCACTGCTCCAACTACCACTGTCACCACCGCCAGCGGAAGTTCCACGGTGACGATCGACCAGCAACAGCAACATCAACAGCAACAGAGCCACCAGCTGACTGCCACGGAACTGGCGTATCTGGTGCCTGCTTCCGGCGACTGTCCCTGTCACGTAGCTAGAGAACACCATCATTGCGCGTTGGATCGTTGCGGAGCGGCTCTGAAAGATCCCCGCGAAGTCAGAGAACATCTGAGAGAACACGAGACTCAGGAACGCATCACCGATGCGTTCTTCGAGGAAGGTGGCTGCGACGACAGTTGCCCGTACGCCGACAAAGAGAAACACTATCACTGCAACTGGGAGAACTGTCGCGAGGTTATCCTATCCACCGACAAACCGTTCCGTAGACTACAACATTACAAGATCCACGAGTACAGTCGACAGTTGAACCTATCGTGCACCTCTCACGCTCTATCCCCTGACGTCACGTTGACCCACCTGACGAACATCGACGCTATGTTCAGGCGGAAACGTGGCAGACCGCCAAAGAACAGGGTGATCGAGATCTGGTCAGGCGGAGATCCAGCTACGCATACACACGACTCACCTCAGGCGATCTTTACAAGCTTCAAGCTACCGAAACCACAGACACCTAGTCTGACGCCTAATCCAATGGCAGAGGATAGAGAAGGAAGCGTGTCTCCTTCGAACAGCCTTGGCGAACCAGAAGGGTTCTCAACCTATAATCCAGACGGTTGTCCAGATCCGGCCTGCGTGCACAGATCGACCAGACATCATCACTGTTCCCAGCCGAGGTGTCATTTCTCAACCGATAGACCTGATCAGCTGCTGATGCACAGCAAAGACTTCCACGATAACGTCGACATACCTCCTGGCTTTGCCTTCTTCGATAAGATGGTAGATTGTCGGCTGGCCGGTTGTCACAGTAATCGCGTTAATCGGCATTTCCACTGTACCAGGCCGAACTGCGGCTACTCGTTCGTCAGATACTCGACGATGGCGATGCACGAGAAGCAGCACACCGGTCACAACGAGGTTTCCAACCAGGAATCCTCGTCGAATCAAGAATGTCAGACGCAATCGCAGCCGGTGATGATACAGGAAACGAAGCCTAGGATTCAAGTGAAGAATCCAGCGGAACTGATCGAGAAGCCCGAGGAAAGTTTGCCCGGCGATATGGAGAACAGATCGATGATGGAGGAGAAGGAGACGGAGATACCAAGTCCGGATGCCAGTAAGACCACCGGTAAGTTTGCTTCACCTGATAGACACGAACCAGTGCACCCCTGTACAGTATTTGTCTCATAGATGAGTTTTGTTTGGTAGTTACTTGAGAATTGTCGCGCGAGAGACAGTCTTACCACAGTCGATGCATGTCTTATTTTATTTTTTTCATTTGTTTTGCACGTAAACACACGCACTTCGATGTATGTTACATTACGACACATCAGCACCGCTCCCTTCGATCCTTTCGAATGATCTCTCTATTTGTTTTTTTTTTTATTCTTATCGTCAGTTTCCTGTATCGAAAGGATTAATCAATCTTTTGTATTTTTATTTTTTTTTTTTTTTTTTTTAAACATGAACCTAACCTGAGCTTTTCCCCTCTACGATTCTCTATACGGCGGTCTAATTACTATTTCTAGTGGGAGGTATATTTGAAGTGTTGGTTGTTTGGTTGATTGTTGCTAGTGGTGAGGGCGGCAGGCACCTATTATCCGGTCAGTGGACCGCCGAGTGAACCCGCACTTCCGGGCGTCGTGCTATCCATGCGAACTTCCGTGCACCAAGGTTCGTGTCTCTTTCGACGACCAGTTTTGTTTTGCCTTCAAACTGTTGTGTTTCTCATTAGACGAATCTTCGCGATTACGCTCTTCACGACTAATCTCGCTACTCGCGACCTGTACTCAGATCGAATTTCCCAATTGCAGAGTCGCCGGTTCTCCCATCGACAAGCTCAGCCTCGCCGCACACGTTGTACGGGCCTGAACAGAGCTGTAGCAGACCGTTCTGCAAGCTGAAACGCAAGAATCACTATCACTGCAACGCCTGCAATCAAGCTTTCTCCGAGCTCGACAGACTCGTGGCTCACATAGCGAAACATTCTACAGGCGCAATTTTGAGCCAGCAGCAACACGAGATGGCCAGTCAGGCTCCGAATCAGCTGCAACACGACTACCTTGCGCAGCTCTCCCAAAAACACGACTTCATGGCTCAGAACGCTCAGATGGCTCAGAACATTCAGAACTTCCAGAATCAGATGCAACGACAGATGCAACAGACACTCGGCCAGATGACACAGCAGACCCAAGCGAAGGAGGTTAAGATCGAGCCAGCGAGGTGTGGAGCGGACGTTGGCGTGCAGAATATCCCGAACGTGAAGAGGGAGCCGAGCGAGGTTACCAGAGACGAAGGGAACAATTCTATGATCGACAACAACGAGAACGGACAGTTGTCTCAGCCAAGTTTACCTCCGAGTGTCCAACAATCGCCAGTTCCGACGAGCTTCGAATTGGACCTCAGCCATGGATTCCACTTCCCTAGCCCAGCAGTGATGGCTGCCATGAATCAACAGATCGCTCTGATGAACCAAGCACTGCCACCTTTCCTCCAACACGGTGGCATGTACACAGGTGGACCAGGATTGATGTTCGCACCTGGTCTACCGCCAACCAACTTTCTACCTCCGACCAGAGACGAGAATCCCTTGGCCTCTCTGGCAGCGAATTTGAACCTGAACAAGAGGTCACTCTCTCCTCCCGATAGCAATTCTCCGGAGGCGAAGAAGCAGAGGCTTCATCACTCTATGAGGATGCTGAAGGACGAGCCTGTGCCAGAAGGATACGTCAGGTTGGTAGAATTTCAACATATTATCAAGCACACGATCAACGATATTACAGGAATTCTAAGTCTAACTTTAACTATACTCCGACACTCGAAAGTCAGTTTTATCGATATCGACGATATTGTTAATCGTGTGCGAGTTAATTTAGCTGTTTTAGAGCGATAAACTGAATCGTTTCGTTCGTAAATTCAGGTTCAGATTCAACGAGGACTGCAGGTACCCGCACTGCGGCTACAGAGAGCACCAGACCCATTTCCATTGCATGCGTCAGGACTGTGGCTACTCGTTCTGCGACAAGACTCGTTTCGTCCAGCACACGGCAAGACACGAGCGTCTGGACACGTTGATGGGCGGTGATTTCCAGCAGTACAGAGCGAACGTGCCCTGTGGTAGAGCACAGTGCGCTTACACGTCCTCGTTAGGCTCGATGCAGAACAAGGCGTCGCACTTCCACTGTCTGAAATGCGACTTCGTCTGCACGGATACCAACAAAGTGGTGGCTCATAGGCGGCAACACGCGAAGCTGGACAGCATAGCAGCGGCTGGTTTCCAAAAGTTCACGCCTAGCCAACCGTGCGGAGGCGTACAGTGCCAGCATTCGGGCAAGCAGACGCACTATCATTGTCTACAGTGTCAGTACGCTGTTTTGGGCCTGGCACAGATGTCCGCACACAAGTACCGACACATGGACACATAACGATGTTCAGCAGAGACGTTGTAATAATCGTTTATTTGAGGAGACTCAGGAAAGAGGATTCTCTGGTCCCCGTAGACATTCCTCGAAGAATCGACGAGCCCTCTCAGTCTGAGGCTGTATGGGGCAGCGAAAGGAAGCATTGTTAGGGGAGAGAGAGAGATAGAGGGTGTGCTGCATCAGACGGAAGTTTCTTTTCGGTTCACGCTGATGAAATCTGATCGGAGAGATGACTGGAGGAATATAATAGGAAAAAAGACAGTTTTTTGACAAGCTCCCTGTAGACATTCCCTGGAGAATTCGCTCGCGATTGTCCATGCCCGATACCAGGATGATTCGTTCGACGAGGCTGGATGATTAGGAGCACCCCGACCGCGGCCTAGTCATTAATCTTCAGCCGTTCTCGACCAGGAGGAATCGATAGCTCTTTTATAGTAGTGTGTGTGTATGTGTGACCTCTTCTCGTTTGAAACAACGGCGAATGAGAGAGCGAGAGAGCGAGAGAGAGAGAGAGAGAGATGTGTATATCGGTCGATGCATCGAAAACTGGAACTGTGTTCAGTCAGCTCGATGACTTCGTACTTACGAGAGAGTTATTTATTAAAACGATCTTGTTGGAATCTTTCACGATCCTTCTTGACTTGGAAGAGGATGAAACTATGGCGCATAGAAACCGTAGACAATAAAAAAAAAAAAAACAAACACACGGATAAAGAAACGAGAGCCTGTCGCATAGCTTTAGATGAGAAAAGCGAGGATAAAAGACAAAACTTGTAATATTTAAATAGAGAAAAGACCTTGTACATTTCGTTTTTCTTCTTTTTTTTCCTGTATTTTTTTTTCTTTTTTTGTCTTAGTATCATTCGTGTACCCTCCGCGTGGTGCTCGTAGAGTACAGATAGTTAATATATGACGAAGAACAGACACATGAGGGAGAAAAGAAATGGAACTTCTTCGATAAGGAGAGAACAAGCGATCTTACGGTTAATCGTCTTCTTCTCGCTGAAACTCGGTGTCCAGGATGATCACCGACGCCAAGCGGGCTGAATGCGAGAATCGAAGAGGAAACAAGACACGAAATTGTGCTTTTCACACGCGTCTAGTCCGTCATGGCGTCTGGACCATTGTTGAAGAAACGTTTCGAATGATTTCGACGAGTTGTCGGGGGCAGAAATGCAGCGATCGATCAGCCATCGAGGGTGCAATGATTTCCCTTCTTTTTCCCCTTTTCTTCGAGCTGATCGACCAAACGAATCGTACTAAAGATTATACGCTTTCCCGGGGATATAAATGTGCCGCGACCAGGAGGGTACGCGTTTTCTCATTAATCTTATTACGAACAGTATTGATTAAAAATAAAGGAGAAGAAACTAAATAACGAGAGAAAACTGAGAGTTAACAAAAAGACTGCCAGCCAAGACGAGAGACAGAGAGGATGTGATTCGACGACGTCCTTTGATTCCAGGCAAATCGTTGCGTACTACTGGATGAAGGGAACGAGCGGACATTTCGAAGAGGAAAGAGAAAATATAGAAAAAGCATGTATAATATTATATGTATGTATAGAGGCGACGAAAATTTCAGAAAAACGTATATATATGTATACGCAGAGAGAAAAGGTATACTCTATAATGGGAGAGCTCGAGATAAAAGATCGGCAGGTGTGCGTTTTTCTTTCTTTGTTCTTTTTTAATGTAAATTATGAAAAATAGGGATCCTCGCGTTTGTACTCTCAGGGGATTCACGATGACGATTTTTAACATTGCAAGGGAGTAGAAACAATAGAAGAATATCCTTGTCATTTTGAAAAAAATTATTTTCACTCTGGTGATTCCTTCGGAAACATTACAAACTTCTGTACAGTTTTCCCCGGACAATCTTCGTTCCCCGAGAAATTTGATTTCTCGAAATTATTGAATTTCACGTCAATTCCCCCCGCTGATTGCAACGCTTTCTTTTCCCTTGATCCATCGAAACATTAAATAACCGTATTAATCGTATCGCCGGAGTGATTTCCCCTGAGAAATAAAGACGATCGACGAGTAACACGACGAACCTGAAGAAAAAGACACCGAGAAACGTATTTTTCCGAGGAGTACGATTAAACCGCGTAGCTTTTTAGAGCGATGCGTATGCGTGAGTGCGTTGGGTGACGCGCCTAGGGTGCCTTTAGAGTTTTCCCCCGAACTTGTAGGACCGTGCCTTAGCAAAACGATAAAAAACTGACTGTCCGCAGAGAAGCTTCTTTTCTTTTTTTTTTTTTCTTCATCGAGCGAAAGAAAAAACGATACACAAAAGACCGAACCGCACACTCGTTAAAAAACGACGTGAACACGATCGTAGAAAGTTAGTGCCTTAAAGGAGCGCGTCGAAATAGAACGGGATAGACGATCGACTCGGTCGCCAGATGTATACGTCTACTTTCTGTATTTCATCGACAATGTTAAAGAATAGCTGTTTCAATTGTCAGACTATAGATGTTGGTACGCTCGGTGAAAAGTTTCGCGGCTTAGCGGTAAAGAAAAAAAAGGGCAAAGTAGAATCTTCGCGACCGAGCAGGATCTCTCAATTTTTTAGACACTTTTCCAGAGATTTGCGAACAACGAGAAAGAGGCTCGCCCGAATTTTTCAGAGTCCCGCTTCAGTTTCTGTTCTATTCAAATTTTACCTTTAACTTGGAATTGGAATTTGCAAGTGCCCGAGGGTTGTTAAATGGATCTCTCTCATTCGACGCGTTATTAAAGAAAAATCTTATTCACCTTAACTGATTTACCGATTTGTCATTTTCACAAACAGTACCGTGGAGATCTTTAGGAAAACGAACAGCGGGCCTCGAAGGATCC